ATATATTTTTTGTAAGTAGTGATCATGTTTTTTGTACATGTACAGAAAGTACGAAACATTATTTTTTAAATAAAATCTTAATTTCACTACTTAAAAATCTGCATGGGCATTACATGACTAGCGTCATTACCCGTATCTGTATGTACACAAAATTTATTAAATTTTATATAAAACTATTTTCATGTTATTTATTTATATAAAAGTACTTTCAAGGTATATGTATGAGCTGTGTTATAAAATGTAAAGAGATATCATGTTTATGCTTTTTTATTATATATATATATATATATACACTTTCACAGATTTGAGATAGCTAAGGTTTAAAATGAGTTTTTAAATATCAGTCAGTTATGTGCTATGCGTGATACACACTTAGGTGATCATGTATCTTTTGATACATGACTGACGAGGCAGATTTTTTCCCACAGTAGGTTGCCATTTCTTTCTGCAGTAGACCAGTTGCCATCCAAATCTGTCCTGATATTTACCTATAACTGGGGGGAGAAGAGGATTCATACCTTTCCCAAGGGTATCAGCAGGTAAGTGAATGTAATGCATTCAAGTGGAAGTCGAATTTTTAAATATAAAAGCATTTATTTTATTTTTAATTTCAAGTTCATAGATTAAATTTAGTATTTCCCAAAAGCAAAATACTTTACTGTGTTTCAAAACTAATTTAAATGGACTGGAAAAAGATTTCATTTTGAAATCACTGAAATTGTTGTTTTTAGTGCTTTCATAGTCACCTTTCATCAGAATATATTATATTCCTCTTTAGTAAAAAATCTTACAAAAATAAAATATACTTTTTTAATACTTTATTTGAGCAATGTTAGCTGATTTAAATTAATCTGATTTGAAACAACTATTACTTACTTTAAGTTTAAAATATTGCAGAAATGCATTTTTAACAAGGCAGTAACTGTTTAAGATGTTAACAGCTTGAATGACCGATGGAAGTTTACCTAATGTTTTTCTACAGTGGATATATCTTTAAAAAGTAATTGAGGAATATAACGTGAGCGTCATTTTTGTATAAATTTTAAGTATTTCGTAATCTCAAAAATTTAGCAAAATATTCTCCATAATGTAATGTTTTATTAAATTTTAGCTAATTTGGCTTTAAATTTATTATAGTTATCGCTCTTATTTTCTGATAATGTGATGTATAAATATTCATATTTACAAAAATCAGCACATTTATATACACAAAATTTTTTTAAAAAATATTGCTGGTTGATGAATTGCATTAAGCTTTTCAATTTATAATTAATAGTTTTTATTTAATAACAATATTACCTATTACAAATTAATACAGAATTTTAAAAGATTTAAAACTTTATAAATTGTTCTAATTAGTATTTTTTTAAAATGAAAACAATTCTTGTAAGAATTCATTATTCATTGAAAAAAGTTTTTTCTTAAAACAATAGTCTCCTTAATATATCATATTCATAAAAGCAATTAAAAGATTTTCTAATTAAATAATGTCTTAGTTTTATTGCACTTTTTATTTCATGATTCAGACCAGATTTTCAGTAACTGGGAGTTCCATTTCACAGAAAGAAATTGATGATTTAAATTCTCCAAGGAGTTCTGCTTTAAGTAATATAAACATTAAGCTTTACAAAATTTAATTTCTCAAAATTTTATAAAATTAAATAAATGGGGGTAACAGATGTAAAAACACACACACATATATATATATATGTGTGTGTGTGTGTGTGTGTGTGTGTTTGTGTGATCAAGAGAGCTTAATTGACAGTACAAAGGTCATTCAACAAATTCTAAGTCTCACCCCAAAAAATGCCATAGCTGAACATTTTTGTTGTGGCAACACACTAGCACTTCTTATAAAAGTAGAAAAACTAATTCAGATTTCTGTCTTAATTTCTGTGCTGGTGAGAGAGGTGTGCAACAATTCTAAAAATGGACAAAACAGAGGATTGAACAATCATAAAATATCTGCAAAAGAAAGGTACAACACCCAAGGAAATCCATGAGGACTGGATACAGACACTTTCCCCATGATTCTGTTTCCTAGGCAACTGTGAAGAAGTGGGTTGCTGAATTCAAGCGGGGCAGGGACAGTACAGAAGATGACCCTTGGTCAAGTCATCCAAAAACCTCAACCATTGATGAACAAGTTGATGCCATTCAATGTATGGTTTTGGATGATAGATGTCTTACTGTCCAGGAGACAGCAAAGTCCATATGGCATTAGTTCTGGTTCACTCCATACTGTTTTAACTAACATCTAACGGATGAGCAAGGTGTGTCCCAAGAATGCTGACACCAAAGCAGAAGCTGAAAAGGGTTTACATTTCCAGGACACTTCTGACTTGCTTCCAGGCTGACCCCGAGAATTTCCACAGCAGATTAGTAACTCATGATATAACCTGGGTTCACATCTAAATCAAAAATTCAAAAGTGAAAACATCATTCTGGTTCTTCACCTCCAAAGAAGTTCAGGCAGGCAATGTCTGTTGGCAAGGTGATGGCTTCTTTTTTGTTTGAAGGGGAGGGGGAGTCTGAAGGCATAATCATGATAGACTACAGGGAAAAGGGAAAAACTATTAATTGATAGTAGTATGTATCAGAATTAAGACAACTGAAGGAAGCAATCAAGTTGAAATGCAGAGGGAAGATGAGGAGAGGCACGCTCTTCCTCCAAGATAACACACCTGTTCACACTGCTCAGGTTGCAGTAGCTGAATCAACCAACTGTGACTTTGAAATGTATCTCCCTTACTCACCAAACTTAGTTCCATCTGACATCTTTCTGTTTCCTAAACTCAAATCCCAACTTGCGTGGTCACCATTTTAGAAACAATGATGAGGTCATGTATGATGTGGAGGACCAGGACACCACCTCTTTCCGTGATGGGATTGCAATGCTTAAGCATTGTTGGACTAAGGTAGACTATATTGAAAAATAGTGAAAAACAGTTTTTTTGTTTCTCCAACTCCTTTTGTTTGAGTGACGCTTAGAACTTTTTGAACAAGCCTTGTAGCAAAAAAACAAAAGCACATGAAAATATTATTTCTTGGAAAGGTGCATTTCTGTTGAGATAATTTTTAAAAAAATAAAAGTATCGATATTTCATTGGTATGATTTTTATACAGCAATTAATAAGCTTTCTATTTTTCCCCTCACCAATGTTGACATTATTTTCTTTTAACAGGATCATTACTTTTGGAGTGAGCATGAATGAAAACCCCACATTATTACTAAGTTACAAATTGGACTGAAAATTAATTTATTCTTCAAGTTAAAGCATTTTATTTTTAACTTTATTGCTCAAACAAAAAATCTTTATGATGTGCTGTTTTTGCTGTGTTACACTACAGTAAAAAAAAAAAAAACAGCACATCATTTTTTTTTTATTTTTTTGCATTATTCTTCTGATTCGCTATTTATTCAATCACTTGTTTACTGTCATTATTTAGTGTAACTGAGTTTGAGGTAACTAAAGCAGACCCCCCCAAATTTTAAACATTTTATTTTTATTTATCACCTGTTCCCTTTGGAATTCAGAAAGCTTAATTTTAAAACAAAAGAATGAAAGAAAGCTATACTTTTTCATTTATTCTTAAACTTTTGTAAAATGAACTGTAATTTTTTTTTTTTTAGTAAAAGGAGAGAAAACTTTTTTTAATTGCACTGTGTCAACGTGACATTAAAGAAAAAAACATTTGTTGGTATTTTAAAAAATTACATTTTCAATCACTTGCAATAATTTTAAAGTTGTACACTGTACACACACACATACTTTTCCGTTGACTTTAATGTCGAATTTGATAAAACAAGACTTTCCCTAAGAAAAAGGATTAGAAAAAAAAAAAAAAAGATTTTAAAAATGTTCAATCAATATGGATACAGGTTACATATAAGAAAAGGAATGATTGTTCAACTATAACAGCAAAGTCAGTAAGTTATATAACTTTTCACCGTAAGTAAAATGATAAATTAAACTTAGAGGGTCAACATTTCATGTTATATAACTTTGATAAAATGAGTAAATATTTGTAACAATAAAAAAAAAAAAAAATATTTTTGTAGAAAATAAATAAATTCCGATTATTACATGTTTCCGTTTTTTTCTAATTGATGCTTTTCTTTTAAAATTATTTTTTATAACATTTTGACAAAAAAGGGTATTAGATTCTCAAAGTAAAACTAAATTAAAAAACGCGAAAAACGTCTTTTTTTAGTTCCTTCCTTCGATGCCGGCTAATGAGAGAATTCAAACATCGAATTTCTTATATGGCAATCACGAACAGGATTAAAACAAACATTTAACTCTCAACTGATCAAAAATCAACCAGATAATTATTTAAGATTTTCACTGAAGATTATAAAATTAAAGCAACTTTAAAATCGAACTGACAATCTCCTTTACTGAAATAACGAATATTCAAATCGGCATGGTCTGAAACAGCGTGCTAAACAAAAATCTCATGACAAAAAATATACAAAGGACAGACATATTGCTTAATAAAGGATACTGCTGATATAATTTTCAAGAGCTGAAGCCATTCTGATGTTGCCAAATAATCCAAAATGTAAATTTACTATTCTTTTTCCCAAACTTTTGTTCCCCTCCCGCAAAGTCTAACAGCTTGTTTTCGCCGCCATTAGTCTTTGAATGACTAAATCTTAGTTTCGTATTGAAATCACGAAAGTGAGATTGTTTAGAAAATTGGTTTAAACATTTGCAGAAATAAATTTATTTTATTAAGCTTATTTTCATCGTATATGTATATTTTTCAGTTATTTCTTTTTTATTATTATTTCTTCAATGCGCAACTACGAAAAATGCTTGGTTAACTAACCGTTTGCTCATGCGCGGTTACCGAGGACGCAAAGAAATGTTTTGTTATTTTTTCGAAATGTCTTCTTGATCAAGTCTGAACAAGAAATCCGTCGTCGAAGAAAAAGCAGTAAAATCTGGACCATTTCCATCTTCTGCTGGATGTTTCTGGTTATTTAAAAAGGGATGAAGGATGCCAACCAAGTTCGGGGTAAAACTTCACACCTGTTGTGATAAAAATCTTTAAATTTCTCATTGGGAACCCGCCTAGATTTGAATTTTGTTTTTAGCCGAGATTTTTGGGGGTGGGCATTCCATTAACTGATACTGTGTTGTTCTGATTTTAATTATTTTCAATTAACTCTCTGTCTGCTTACTGAATTTAAAATCAAAGTAATTGCAGACTAGAAAGTGATGTTTTAGTTTACCTTTCCTTTCGTGAAAAATGTTTTTTGACTTAAACAAAAAAAGAAATACTTTTAAGAAATTATATTATGTTAAAAAAAAGTGTCTCCTGAAAATGAAAAATGCAAAAAACTAAAACATTTTAAAATTGTCTTTTAAAAATATTGAATTTTTAAAATACTTGATATTTTTCTATTCTTGTTTTGTTGTCAATGAAATAAATTACATTTTAATTTTTTAATCATTTAAAAAGGAAAGCCCTGAAAAAGTTTAACTCTCTAAAAAATTTTGCTACAGTTGCTTAGCCTTAGTTTTCTTTCACAGGGGATTGAACCCTCACTAGAGAGTTGTCCCAATTGATCCACACCACAATGAAAAAAAAAGAAGCGGCGGGTTCTTCTACGTCACTCACATTTTCAAATTGATAGTGACTATTTACAACTGGAATGGGAATGGAATAGAAAGATTGTGTTTAATTTCCTAATGGGGAACATGTTTTTGCCCGTTTTGAAAATAAGTATATTCAAAATCCTGGCTTTTTTTTTTTTTGCCTGAGTTCGAATACAAACCACTTTATACCAGTGGCAAATGCAAAATAAGACAAAGTCACAAAAACGTCCATCTACTGCTAGTTTTTCATTCACGAACGATAAGAAAAAACGATAAATAAAAAGTTATTGTTAAAGTTTAAAAAAAAAAAAGTATTGTATTAACATATAACCGTTAAATTTTCTCGTCTTTCATGAGTGATCACAGATTGATTGTCTCTAACATCACGCCGGTAAATATAGGCTCTCTAACTTTCGTCTAAAAACAACGACAAAAAAAGAAGACATTGTTTGAATATTTGTCTCTCTACCGAACTTTGTTTTTCGTTCGAGAAATGAACGAAAAGAAGTTTCGTACATTCAAACTATTTCTTCTTTGTCCATTTAAATAAAATTAAAAAACTGACTTCTGCACCAGAACGCCCATCCAAAATACCGGATCGCTGATAGTCAGCACCACCGATGAACCGTGCATTATTCTTGCTAGAGAGGCAAATATCAATTCACATAATCGGTTTTTTAGAGTACTTCTAAAATCGTGGATACTGAGGACGGTAAATAAAAGCTGTTCATTGCTTAGGTTAGGTTGCATGCTGAAACTGTTAACACGCGCAAGGAAGCAGATAGCAAGAAACGTTCATTAATAATTTACAACACAAAGTAAATTTGGTTGACTTTTTTTTTTTTTTACACTTAAAAATATTGTCCCATCGTAAAAAAAAAAAATAGCCTTGCACTGAGGATTGTATCTGTGTCAATGGAAATAGTGAAAGTCAAAAGCTGGACCCAAACCCGCTCGGAATGTACTATTTTTTAGGGGCTGGGGTTTTAATTCAGATTACTTAATCACTAAGAATAGACCGCCTTAGATCACACACTAGAGAGAGAGTTGTGACCAAAAGCTAGACTAGGTCAAACTTTAGGCAATAAAGTTTGTCATAATCCAATCAAGCGAGGTAACAAACCTTATTTTATTCAGAATATTAACTGTCATTTAAGCACGTGACAGCTTGCACCTATAAATTTAAAACAACTATAATGTTGAACAATGATTTTTTTTTTTTTTTGTTTAATAATAGTGATCACTGATATAATTCTTTTAAACTTTTTAGAGTTTCTTTGTTGAAATAAACGTTTTTTACCTTCAAAATATATTTAAAAATTTAAATTAATTTGCAAACTCAAATTTGACCTGAATTTTGATTTTTGGCATTCATTCGTTTGAATTGAATATTCGTTTTCTTGTTTAAAAAAAGGTTTTTTTATTCTTTTCTTACATATGACTTTTGCTTGCTTTTACTTTTTTTTACATGAGAATATTAAAGCAAAATGCTAATCTAATCTTACCAAATCTTAAAAATAAAATTCTTTTTATTTTTATTTTTATCCTCTTTTACTATGAGTTGTGATGGAGTGATTCTCATTTTTGTTTTTTCTTTGTTGAGCAATTTAATCCACTTCCAACTTATTAGGGCTGTCAGAATTTCACCATACATTTTAGGAATTGATACTTATTGGTATCAGTTTGACCACAGGAAAAAATCATATAGCACTTTAAAGTTGACATTCAACTATCCTAAGAAATTCCACTACTAGTTTGAATTCAGACCAGTATTTCTCAGTTGTTTGTTAACCAAGGCTAGAGAATTCAGTCTGCCCTGCTATTTTACTCATAGCTAGTTGGAGAAGAAATGGATTCATGTTTTTAGAATGGTATTAGTACAAAATGAATTCCACCTTATGACAGCAATTGGAAGTGTATTTTCCAGGCCGCACAAGCCCTAAAATAACCTTATATATTAGTACTTATATGCATAAGTGAAATTATAAAAAAAAACAACAACCTTATGATGGTAAAATACAAACTTTTGTAAGCATAATGTCAGGAATAAGGCCTTTTATGCCTTGAAAAATATCTAAGGAGATTTAAAAATCTCTCTCTCTCACACACACACACACAATGTAAGGTGACTTTGCACATGTAATTAAAGGTGCTATTGCTCTGTTCTTATCTAGATTTATTCACCAAAGAAAATATTTGATATAAATTCCTCAACTGAGATAATAATAGATAAAATATTTTGGGGTAATGTCAACTTTTCCTTATATCCTAATAATTGGCTAACCGCAGTGGATACTAGATATGGAAATTGATTTTGCTTCTAATCTTGAACCAACCATTTACAAAACTAACTTAAAAGAACAAATCTCTTCAATAGATATGATATCCATCTGATGATTTTTTTTCTCTTTTTTTTTAAGTTCTTTCATTGTCAACCTTGTAATTTTGAGATCGACAATGCTTTTCTAAATTGCCATTCTTTGCACATGTATAGAGACAGTATTAATTCTTTGTATTGACAAAAATAAGAATATATTCTGTACCAAACCTTTAGTAACCAAGGAAAATATTTGGAAAAGGTCATAAATTTAAAAAAGTCTATGAACTACCCATAATTCTTTTTTTGGAATTTATTTGTCAGGATCAAAGACACAAGTTCAGTTTGTAGGATGCTGGGTAAATCTTTGGAAATTATTTCAGCAAAAGAAAGTATCCCCAACATTGTGATTAAAATGAGGAAAACTTTTGATTCTTTTTCTCTAAATTTAATGAATAGAAATTTTTGATTTCAATCAAGATTCCTCTTTAAAGGAAAATGGGATTTTTTATTTCATAAAATGGCAAGAGTTTCCTTTGGTATAATTTTGTACATAAAGACTGTTAATTAAATTTTTATCTAGGTGGTAGTTTTTTAATGTTTAATATTGAAACTTTTTATCAGATGTTTTTAAAAAATTGACATCAGAAGTTTATTGACACTAGTATATAAAAATATTATTTTTAATTCAAAAAGAAAAAAATACTATGTTCTAAAAATATTTACGTTAATTATGATTAAAAAGTGCGCTAGGTGATCTGAACACTTTGCCATCAGTTAGTCTTATCAAAAATCATTATTTGCTTGATTCCATTAAAGGGGAAAAACCTTTTTGTGTTTTTAAATTTCATGTTTGGTTATTTTAACGCTTGAAAAACTATTTTAAAATACATATTTTAATAATATGAAATAAATTTTGAAATATTTCCCTTAAACATCACTGGAAAAAGTTAAAAGTGTTGCAAAATTTACAAAAATAAAAGTGAATATATTAAAAATACATGAACAAATAAAATTTTGTATATTTATTTATTTATTTTTTTTTTTTACAAAGCAACAGCAGAGAGCATATAAATGGCAAATAAAAGATTTTGCTATTTTTTATTATTTTGTGACTTCTATTCCAGGGAAAATCTGAATACCACAAACATTTTAGGTGGAGGCCGACTTCTTTATCCAAGCTGGCCCTAGTGCAGACTGCTGGTACTTCTCCTATTTCTAGCCAATCAGGTAGCTTCAGTTTCTGATGCTATATTTGAATTTATATTGTAGCCTTATGCCAGACTAAGCTAATCTAAGTAAATATTTACACTGTCATGTCATTTTTGAGTAAACTGCTTTCTGGCTACTCATGATTTAAAATTTTAGATATTTAAGAAAGACAATGAGTATCTAAGTACATGTCAAATATATGGGAATTGTGTGAAGTTTCTCTTGGTTGAATTATGAAACCTGCCCACTTCACTGTTACATTTCTAATTTACCTGTGTTTAGAAGTTTTTTCTTGTATTGTCAGAGGAATCCATATTGGTTGTTACTTTAACATTATTAACTTTTCAGTAGATATTTAACCACAAACCTACTCAAGTTGAACATGACACAGACTATGCGGGATATCCCAGGGTCAGTTTTAATTATTGTCAGCTCAGAAAACAGTGTTGAAATGGAAACTGCTATGTCAACTGCTTCACAGCAAAAGTAAACCAAACTACACTTTTTATTCTCTTAAGTGTTCCACCAAATTGAAGAAGACCTCCCTTTCCATTTTCTATTCAACCAATTTTGTATCATTTTTAATATAAAAAAAAACAAAACAGGAGATAAGTATTGACTATAAATAAATTGAACACCTTACGTTAAGAAAGGGGGGGAAAAATATTTTTGCTAATAGTAGTTGATATTTCTTGAAGGGGTAATAACTTCTATCCTCTCCATACGTCTTGCTGAGGAGTTACAGCACTGTGTTCCAAATCTTAAATGATTAGAAGAATTGACACCAGGTTGTAAAACTAAATGCCCTTTAAATGTTATGTGAAGTTTGATCTGAAATTTTCACTGTATAGTGTTTGATCTATGTGGTCTATAAAAAAAGTCTTGGG